AGAAAAGAAATGGACACATAAATCACGAGCATATCTTTGGAGCTTGCGGTGGCCAAAACATGAAGCGTCTGAAAAATGGTCTCTCGCTGCCAGCCTCGAGGTTTTTTTCAGCGCACCTCTCTTTCCCCTACCCGATCGCTCTGATAAAACGGGGTACTGTTAACACGCTGAAAGCGACGGGTGTCGCATACCGGAGAGGCCAAGAATCGCGACCTGACCCCGGGAGATTAGCGGTCTCCCTTCGGGTGGGCATCATCCTGCTTCTCGCATTCCGCGAGAATCACGTCTCGCCCGTCACGCAATCAGGCTTGCTCATATTTTACTCAATTCTTAAATTCGATACTCCACCGTTCGGAAAGTACATATTAATCGCGCACACCAGACTTTGGGTGAGCTACGAACCCGAATCTTGGAATTGTCTCGTTACAAGACACTGGGAATACTATTTTAAAGAAACATTTGGTTACTTTTTCGCCGTATAGGAAGGTCCCACGTCAATTGAAAAATCACCCGAGCGCGGAGAACTTGTCATAGTCACAGGCGTGAAAGAATGAATACGATCGTCGTGCAGTCGCTTCCTCGTTTTCAAAGCTTATGATTGAATACCGAGTACTGCCGAGGGTAAAATGATGCGCAAATTTCATATCAAATGCTTGAATTTCATTATTGTGCGCTACGTGATTGCACTTCGTGTCTAATACCGCGTTAAATTGAAGTATCTCTGCTGCCAGGGCGAATTTGCGTGCGGCTCATCGATGCCATTCAATGCACGCCTTGCATGCTAAATGATTTCGACACGCGATCCGTCGTGGCCCTAAAATCGGGGCCTCTCGTTGGCCGACGTAAATTAAGTGTGACACGACATGACGACAATCAGCGAGAAAGAACCGCGCGATGATCATGTTAACCCCTTCATATGACCGCAGAGCATTTTCAATTTTCAACTCCGAATCTATTCAATCCCATCGCTCCCGAATCACTTGTAAAGATTTTTCATTACAATCCCGCGTCTAACTGCACATTAATACATAGATCGATGTTTTTAATCAGCAAACACATTTCATGCATTTATCACCGTCTTAAACGTGCACATATTGGAAGAATCAGTCAATAAGTATAAAAAGTGACACCTCAGCTTTGAAATTTAATCCTATAAATGCGCCGATATTAACGCGATCGATATATTAGCGCATTTTGAAATATTCCCTAGTTAACTTCGCGCTGACATTACGCGCTTGATTTTGGCAGAGTTGTCGTTCGCAAGGAATCTTCTGCATTTTACAATCCTTGGGATACACTGGAACATTCTCCTTTCCGACACCCTGTACACCCGTATATGAGGAACGGACAAGTGATAACGTCAACAACAAGTGCAGCGATGAGGCCGAGCAGGTTGAGACTTCGAGTGCAAAGTTAAATGTCGAGCATTCGGTGGCGACGATGACCGCCGCGACGGCGGCGGATATAATCTCGGCGTGCAATAAATTATACTCGTCACAAACGGCGCACTATCGCAGCCAGACACATTCGCGGCGAGATGGCCTTATCTCATCGAAGCTACAGTAATCATTCTCTCTCTCCCTCCCGCTTTTTCTTCCTCTCCCTCTCTCTCTCTCTCTCTCTCTCTCTCTATGCCCTCTCTTTCTGCCGAACAGATGTGTTTGGAAAAATGCGCAACGTTCCAGATGTGAGACTAACCGACGCCAAATCGAACGATGTCGCGATGATACGTTCGATGCGTTTTTCCCGGACGATAGTGCCGCAATACCGCGGGATTAGACGGATGGTTTCGAAGTTGTGGGCTCAGCTTTGTTAGTTTTCTGCCGTTGAATAATGAACCGATGGACGAAAATGTGGCAACGCGTTTAATGTCCTTGTTATGCGCGCACATGTGCGCGTCTGTGACCCTATCCGGTGCATTTCACCGTCTCAAATGTTATGTGAAATATATGCCAGCGGAGAAAAGTCGAATAACGTGATTTTTCAATATTCAATTATAAAGAAGATGAGAAAGAGATGGGGACACTCTATTGCTTTATTCTTGTAAATACCGGTGCTATCAAGATACGATAGATAATTCCGGCATTCGAGTACTACCTAAGTACATGCGCGATACTCAAATTCACGAGTACTATATGACAACTGGGTATCCGGGACGAGAAATCGTGAGTAACCGTGTTATTGGCAGGTGATTTTGCATCAACTAATTTTGCCTCCGTTGCTTTTCTAAAATGTATCGTGTAAGTTAAACCGTGATATTCGAATATTCGGATAATCCAGAAAATAACCGAGCATCCCGAAAGGCTCAAATATTCGGGTAACGCTCGAGCTGCGTACTTGGATACTGACTTTGCTAATAAAAAAATATCTGACTTAAGGCTTGACGATATAACGTGAGCCACGTTATAAATTCATCGATAGCACATGTATTTACCTGTACTAATACCGAACAGTGCGAAGAAGATCTCTGAGAGGGATTAACCCGTATCTCTGAAATATGATTTTACGTAGCGCGTGCAAAACAGACGCAGGGATAAAGTTAAGCAACAAATAAACGCAGTCATTAAACGCATCGGAGAGAGGAGAGGCTATTTCTTTTTGTCTTCTGTAAGCCCAAAAGGGCGCGACGGTACCGGTTCTGCCCTCGGTGGATAATTAATTTCCGCCGTAGACAAGGATGTAATAAAACGGCTCGTATATCCCGAATAATATTATACGCATCTAGAAGAGCTCCGCGACGTCTCTCGACGTTTCCCCTTTTCCCTTAATTTGCTCGTTTCTTTGAAATCTCGAGTCTCAGATCCCGAATCGGATTGCACTTCCACTTACTTTATGCCGAGACGATTGGCCTCTTTTAAACAAAAGTAAAGGCAGCGGTTTGCATTAACATAAGCTTGACTCAAAGGCGACTTACTTTCCCTATATATATTGTGCTTTAGTTTCGACTTTGGTGACAGGTGTAACAAAAATGCAAAAATTAAGCCCAAATGAGATCGATCGATCTATGCGAATTTGAAGTTGCATCTATTTGTTGCCTAACTTTTGTCTAATTCATTTAATATATCACAAGAGAGGAATTCCACGGAATTATATCAAGCGACGAAACGATAAAACACAAAAGATTCAGTGATCACGCGCAACATCGAATAAAACTAACAAGTCTTTCGGAGATTTTCGAAACAACATGAATACTTTCCTTGATCAGAAATTAATTAATCGATCGAGGAATAATTAATGGTATACAGTTTAATGAAATTGCAACGAGAGAAACTGTCTCGTTATTTTTCATTAGCAATCTTATGTTGCGATGTTCACCTTCTTTCATTGGCGCACGCGTGATTAATGCGTCAGTTTAATTAACCGACGAGAAGGGACAATCAATTACGTTTGTTTACAAGCTGTACTCGTTACCTACGACGGCATCGGCCGGTCGTTTAAGAGCGAATTAACGTTACCCGAAGGTGGACCGTGTTATCGCACCTGAACACGTAATCTCATTGCTTTTAGCTACCGAATAATTATCGGTTGCCTATTGAGTTCTTATTGCAAACGTCAGTTTAACGGTAAGTCATTCAATTAAAGATCATTTGATTAAATATTAATTTAACGACAGATAAGACGCTTTAATTGAGATATTTTCTGATGCTTTATGCAGTAAGAAATATATTTTTAATACCAATCTTTTTAATCACTAATATGTGTCAATCTGTTATTATTACGTTTCCAAACGCCCGTAAAAATGCGAGACTATGAGTTCACTAATGGGACGAATCTACCTCCATCTCCAGCTTGGATTTCCGTCGTTTGAGTCTTAGTGTTTACTTAATCGATGAAAAATAAATTCAGATAATGATTTAAATTGTAACACGTCACTGATAAATTTACATATCTCTAGCGCCATGCATTGAGAACTTGCAATGTTACAATAACACATTAAATTTCATACAGATTATAGTCTCTTGTAGCCTTGAAAAAAGAGACTCAGAATATGTATACGCAAGAAAGGATTTTTTCATTATTTTTAAGTAGCCAGCCTTTAAGTATCATGGGGCCTTCGCACGTTTTAAATTCACACCTGTGCGAGCTAAGTCCAACCTGGGTTCCCGCCGCACTTTCAAGCCGCGAATTAAACCGGCTTTTCGACTCTGCAATGCCGGATGATGAATCTCCCGAGATTAATCGTCAATCAGGAAATTAATCCAACTTTGCCACAGTAATAACGATTTATAGCGAACATCCATTTCATCCTACTATTTGTGTATAAACTGCCTTTTAATAGAACCATTCCATTGATTTCAAATCAAAACTTATTTTCGCATAAGCGAAAAGGAAATCCTTAGACACTGAAATACTCGCTCGCTACCCGAAATGTACGAGAATACCCGGGTGTCCAAGTATTCCGGCTGTATTACCCGGGTACCCGTAACATCCGTATTACCGGGATATGCTTGATCACTTCTCATTACCCGAAATGTACTGGTGATATGTCACCCGGATTACGTTACGATCCGACTAGTCAGATACCGAGGTGTTCAACGTGCAGAAGTATCAAAGTACCCAGGTAATATAGATATTATAAGATAAATCAGATAATACGGTGCTCGGATCGAAATCGTCAAGTCTGAGTTCAGTTCTTGGAAAGTGTCAACGCAGACCAATTGCTCGAATTTCCTTCCGCGGCAAAGTGCGAAAGTGGTTTCCCGTCACGTACCTTCGCTAACGCCAACGTTTCCCCAACTCATCGTTAGAACAGACCGAACTGTTACGGAACGAATCCCGATAATTAATAATCGGCGAGCGAACCCTCGAAAAATCCGTCCCGTGTCCGCGCGAAGCCAAGCGACCCTACATTCACCATCTTGAATTTGATAGGGAGAAGTGTTTGCGGAGACGCAATCGTTCGCTCGTCATCTGAAAACGAGGGGTTTTCACCCCGGCGGGGTGTACCGGGGTGCCGTGCGACGGCCAATGGGCAACGCGGACAGAGGGATGACACTCACCCAGTGCATGCCGGTCGTAGGAGGGGCGCGCTCCTCATACACTCCCATCAGGGTGGCCGCTGTCGCGGGGTAGTTCCCGCCGAGGGTGCGCGACGCCGATGCTGCTCGGGGGGGAGTCCCGGGGGATCCGCTTGCCGATAACGCGGAGATGGCGTCCGCTGTGGCTGGGGTCCTCTCTCTTCCTACCACCACCACCGCCCACCCTCTCCTCTCTATCCGTTACTCCCCTCGCAACACTCCTGATATCACGACACTAACGTGGGAGGTGAATCCCTCCGTGACACCTTCGGGGAATAGTCGAGGGAGGAGCCCTCACGGGCGCATCGCTTTCTTTGAAGTCGCCGACAGTCCGCGGGTAATCATACGCGAGTAACACCCATGCCACTTCACAGATTAGCACTGACCGTCCGTTACTGTCATGGACACTCCAGGATCCGTAGCGGTCTCGCGGTCCATACTCCGAGCCGCACCGACGCACTGCGACGAACCGGCGAGTCGAGGGAGCCCGCGCACTGATTAAAACAACCGGTCACACCGCGATGCCACCTACTCGTTTCCTCATCCCCCTCAGTGGAACCGTTCCGGCGCACACAAGGGATGCTCTGCCTAGTCGTTTATAGTCCATGTGCCGTGTGATGAAACGCCACGGTGAACGGAGCTTCTCGTAACGTGAGGAACGACTCGGCTGCGCCAAGGTGAATGCGGACGGTTCCGACGAGCCGGAGCCGCGGTACGAAGTGAGGGTACCGACCAGGCCAAGTCCAGTCCCCGGGTGTTTGGCAGCGCCGCCTGGCGACAAAACCAAAATCGGCAACATCGCCAAGTGGGATGGACGTTGAATCGCGCCAGGCCACACCCGCGCCACCCCACTCGCTGCGCGGCCGACGAAGCCCGCCCATTTTGTGGGTCGCATGCACCGTGACAAAGCGTTCGCTCCCGGCGAACGGGTTTGCTCGGGAAGGGCAGAAGGAAGATCGAGGGAGAAAGAAACCGGCGCCGCTGCGCCCCGCATTGTCGTAAACCTCTAGGGTAATCATGAATTGTGCGTACAGCGGGAACTTTTCTCCTCGGCTGAAGGAGACCGAATTATTCCCTCTCTTTTCTCCCCTCCTGTTTCGATAAAATGTAAAATTCACGATTGACTGGATTTCGTCAAAGGCAGGTCCGCACGCGTGCTTAGTCATCAAAGGATAATGAGCTTCTGGGATATTTATGAACAGTTCCTTGTGTGAATCGATCATTTTGAGGACACGGTCGAATTTGAAGAGCAAATACAATGGATCCTTTCTAGGTTAGGTGGGTTGCTTGGTTGGGTTAGGTTAGGATTAGATTAGGTTTCACTAATCCGTATCCAACCTGAGACTCGAGTGGTTGCGACTCGTTTTAATTGTAGGCGCGCGAGAAAGAAATTATGTACTTGGGTGTGAGGTGTCACCAAATATATCTTGCGAATTGAATATTGTTACCAATCATATTATGATAATTAGTAAAGAGGGCTGGTTGGCTAGTGAGGTGTAAGTTAGCTAATCGATTACTTCTGTTATTTCCGAACAGATTACAGAATCCAGCGAGCAGAGATTTCAAACATGTCAAAGATGGTGATGAAATCCCTGTTTGCTCGATCTCATAATCTGTTATAAACAACAGAAATAATCAACTTACCCCTTTAGCCAACTAGCCCCAATCTCCGTATATGATAAATATTCTCCCGTTTCTCTGTATATGATAAATCAATATATTCTCTTTATTTTTTATACAATTTGATAATTTTTGTCGACGTAGAAGCGAAGAAGTTGATTCTCATTTTGGAGAAAGGAGGGCCCAACCTAACCTAGAAGATTGTCTAAATTGACTACACAGTCCCAAGATGAGCCAAAACATCGAATGGCCAACGTATTACGGCTTTCACTACAATCACTGTCACTTATGACACATTACTTTCCGTCGCAACTTCTTTCTGAATCTTCCAAACTCAGCACTTCAACCGTTTCACCACGCATGCACCGTGCACTGTGTACTTTTCACAGAAAAGAAGAGAGAAAGAGAAACGGTACAACAAGAAGGCAACGACTATTTATATCCCACTTCAGCGTAACGTTTAACCCCTTCACCGCCTCGCCGCTGTTGCGTCTTCCCCAAAAACGACGCGATGGAGGAGGACGATCTCCGAGCCGACTGAGCGGACCGTCCGATATCCCGTCATAAAGAGAAACCGGTTTCGTCACGACGCAGACGGAAACCGTCGCTCCGATCAGAAATTCCTGACGATGCCCGGCGTCCCGATGATGGAATCCGCGAAAACAGCGCTCGTACTCGCGCTCGCTTGACTCGCGCCGTCATCATCGTTGCCCGGACGGTCGTCTTATTTCGCAGCGCGATTAAATCGAGTGTTTACAGGGGAAGCCGACCGGTGGAATGCAGAAAAACACGTCGACGAAGTGAGCTGTCGGCGCTGCAGCGCTCGTGTACGGACGCACTCCCGGTAACTCCCGGGGACACCGCGGCGCCGCGACTGTGTATTCAAATTCTACGAGATGAGTCGTTGATAAAGAGCAACCTTGCGAAGAGCAAAGCGCTTTCCAACCTGCGGCTTTGCCGGTGGTGTCGCCCAGACATTCGCTAGAGCAGCATCGTCCGGGATAACACGACCTAAACGAAAAAGCTAACTTCTCGTCACGTCTCGTTTAACCCAGTTAGTCCCTTTTCAATAATCCCACGTCCGGGCTCTCGTATCACTTACGACTTCTAATTGGCTGAAATGATAAAAGAGCCGCTGCGTTTTACGTCCTTTTACGCGCGCACGATGCTAACTAACTTGCGCATAAGCGTTGCATTCAGCCGAAAATGTTTTCCCCACTTTCGTTAATGCCGAGATCATCCCTTTGTTACGTTTTCCACTACAAAACTGTACGCCACATACACGGTTGCGCTCGGACAAACGCCCGGTATTTTCAACGATTCTCTTCCACAAACAGGAGTGGTTTGCGGTAAACCGGAAAGCAGCTTCCGAGGTGAAAGTGGCGGTTGGGTCAAGAACTGTCGGCGCTTTTGAGCTTTGTCTCTGTCTATAATCCTTGCGTCCGGCTTTCGTTCGCTCGCCGGTAAATTCGCCCTTTACTTTTCCAGCTTTCAGCTACGGGCAGAAATGCAAACGGCAGAATCGGAGACATATTCGAGTCGACTTTGCATCCCGGGAATCTCAGATTTGCGAGCATTATCCACAAAACAACCGATAAGGAAAAGTAAGGCTTCATTTAAATATGTATATATCTATATGTTTTATCTATATATTTGTATAACCAATTTCAAAAAATTGTTAAAAACGAAGGATCTTATTTGTGAGAGAAGTGTTCATAAATTTGGGGACACTTTAATTCTATCTTCAGTTTAATTTAAATTTAAACTTAAGGATTAGAAAAAAAGAAAGAAGGAGAAACTAGCTACGATGCTACTAGCAACGATCCTTACAATCGTCTCGCCGCTCGAAATACGAAGTTTCGCGTTTCCATGGGGTTTACAAGCTGCTTTCAAGATTGCTTTCGTACGATCCCACTCGTGGGGGTTCTCAACAGGCGGGTCCCCATTCGCGACGGGGTACCAGTACCCTATTGTGCCGTCAGTGCGTGTTTAGTATTCACACGTCAAGTTAACAGCATTCCGCCCCTTGCTACTTTTCTTCCTAACCCTCGTAAGTCCCTCCCCTGCCCTGCGCCACGCTTTTGCTGCGCTACTTCCTGCGGCCAAGACAGACTAGAATGCGTTTCTCCGACATATTTGCAGAACATTTACAAACTGTTTTATGATTATTGCAATATCTCTTCAGTTAAAAATTAACTGAGATAATTATTTAAATAACCGAATTAATTATTCGTATACTTTTTACTAAAGGAGTTTGAAAAGAGAACACAATATATATATATATATATATAAATTTTACACTTTTTATAGATCGAAAACTGCATTAAGTATAAGATCTAAAGGTGTCCAAGTTTGAAAAATTGGAACATTAGAAAAAGAATGCAAAGAGATGTTCATGTTTTAAAGAGCTGAAAGTAGAAATCCCGAGTTACCGGATATTCAGAAACCTTCAGATACCGAAAGTCTACGGTACACTGAAACTTGTGCGAGTGCAGAACTTGGCCAGTATCTATGTGCCACAATTATCCCCACTCCAACAGCCAGAAGCGTCGAGCGTGGACGGAGAGCAATGCGGCTCGATTTCCGGAAGGTCGCAGCTTGGGCTGCGGAAAAGACAGCCGCTTTCCGCAGTTTGGCTGACAATGTTCGGCCGATCGAGCCGGCGAGCTAAACGGTCCACCCAGCGGTCATTGTCACCATTGTCTGCGGCTGCCAAGTCGTGAGCACGCGCGTCTCCGCCCGGGAGAGAAGCGGGACACGACAATGAACGGTCAGGCCGGTTACACGCAAGGCCCACAACGACGTTACAATAACGAGGAGCTCGTAAATGTCCAGATAGCTTTTAGGCGCGGTCGAGCCAGGCGTGCGACTGGGCCTCCCGATTCTTTGCTCACACTCGCAGCGGAAATCTTCATACATCTTCATTTACAAACGGACTATTGTACGTGAACACCCTAGGACACGCGTCCCTTATAACATGATCGCGACAATGTGCCAGCGGATAACTAAACAGCGAAAGCTAAAGATATTACACAGCCACTGAACATCCCATAACGTGTCTTACGTTACAAAATGACGATCTCGAAGAAAGGATAGAACGAAGGAAGTACAAATACGGCAGAGAGAGAGAGAGAGAGAGCGTTATGTGAGGAACGTTGTTTGGCAATTACTTCAGATTTTTCGTATATTCGATGTATACGAGGTGATAAATGAATACCGGGTCGTGTTAGGGGGCAAATCCCGTGCGGCCTAAGGCCCTGGTCAGATACAAATGTGCCAATGCGCAGGGGGTGCCAGCGACGCTACAATGACAGAGAACCGCGTAAATGTCTGGCAAGAAACGCCGCTCGCGTCCATTGTGAAGGCAACGAACAGAGAATATTCCGGGCCGATCGGAAACGCGTGCTGCTCAATGGCTGCCGTGGAGATTACACGTTCATTCAAGGCAGTGCAACACGCGCCGCCTCTCGGACCTCACGACCCATCTCTTTCACGAATCTAGGAATTCGGGGGCAAGAGGAAAAGCGACTTAGCTGAAGCACGCCGGACTGATCAGGGATCAGTCGATTAACCCTCAACCGGTGTCGGCCGTTTGATCTGGGTGTAACCCCAGCAATTTTCCAGAACGGTCGTCTTTCCCGCTCATCAGGGTGCTGTGTGATCCTCCACGGTTGCAAAAGAAGCCGGAAATCATACTTTCAACGGAGTTGAAATCGGCGAGAATTTCAACTCGGTTAACAATCGCACGTACATCGCGTACTATTATTTGCAATAACGGGGCGAATCGCCGGACGATTCTCATCTCGCCTAACGCGGTCACTTCATCGCCGGGATTTCCACGTCGTGGAGCAGGAGCGCGTGCCGATCAATGGGCGCTGCATGGATTATGAGAGCTGGGTGATTTGTTGTCGAGGAGGCACGTGTTCCGCGGTAACACGTGCCTGCTCAACGACGAGCTTTACGAGGGAGCTAGGTCGACCGGCGGAATGGTTCCAAAGAGCCCTTTTTCCGCAGCACGGCACGTTCGACAAGCACGCTCGCCTGCTCGATTTGCACACCCGGCTTTTATTCAGTC